ATCAAACGTGATACCTAAATCAACTACGCTCTCACCTGAGGTTTCCAAACTAACACCGTTGGCGGAATATATAAAATTAACATTATCACGACGACGTGTAAAAGTCATTACGAGGCATTTTGATGTGTTAAAATCCAATCCTAATTTAGTAGCAATACCTACCATATACTCTAAATCTGTTTGGAGGCGAACACATGCACGGAGTCAATTTGGAGAAACAACTTAATGTCATCAGCAAATAGCAAAAAACGACAGTAACGCAAGATTTTATTTATATCATTAACATATAATGCAAATAATAGTGGAGAATGGAGATAAGTGTTTAAAAAAAGTTAATCTATTTTTTTAAATTAGTTTATGTAAATTAGATAAAGAGTGAATGTGTCTTTCTAGTTTCTAATTTATAAATTATATAAAACAATTTTATTGAACTTTTATCATAATGTACACTGTATATAGGTACTATACTTTATTTTTATTTTATACTAATATAGTAATATTTACGTATAAATGAAAAATTTCAAAATGTTTTTAACTTGATGGGTTTTTTTAAAATCAGCTTTGAAAAGCTAAGTTATTTTAACTGTATATTAAACTAGTGAAGTTCATAAATTTATTAGAAAATAAACTAATTAGTTAAGTTAAAAAGTAAAAAAAAAAAATAACTTTTTAACTTAATTTCAACTTTTGAACTAGTTAATGCCCACCTTTGCGTTTAACTGTAACTGAAGCCTGAAGGCAATTTAATTATATTCATTTAACCTTGTATCAAATTTTTAATACTTAGCTATAAAAGTTAAATTTTTTATACATTTTTAACAACTAAAGAATTTGTCAAAATTTGAACTTTAAATGGTTATAAAAAAAAATCATGCTTATGTATTCTTAATATTTTCAAACTACTAATATATTAACTCATGGGGAACCTTGTATTAAATTTTTTTCCCAACGAATAAAATTTTATTGACATTTATAGAATAAAAAACTAAAAAAACGGAAAATGTCAAACGTCTATAAATAACTTAAAAATTGTTGAAATATTTTCAAAATTTTATCAAGTATAGGATAATTAATGAAATAAATATTTGGTGTAAATTTCAAGTTTCTACAATTATTCGTTTTTATTGAACAAGAAAATAAGAATATCGGTACAACAGAAATTGAATGAATATCTAATATTGTAATTCAAATTGATGTGTGCTAACGCCGTATTATCGTTGAAATCAGGAATTAATGATTTATAAATAAAAACACTAGTTAAATTACTTCACGTACACTAATTTTATTATTTCTACTCAAACACGATTTAACTTATAACTAAGATTTTCTGTCTACACTATAGAGGTTCTGTCTAACTCGAGTCCGTACTCCGACTGCCGACACGGCCCCGTCCGTGGGAACCTTATGGGTCCTTGCACGGCGAATTCGCTGACCAACGCACTTCCCACAGTCACGTAGGCCATTGCGTTATCCAGCGAACGCACATATCGCATACAGGGTGTCTAGTATATACAGGGTACAACATACCCCCCGAGTTAAACGGTAGCAGTCCCTGCGACCTCGTAAATACAAATTACTTCCCCAAATCTAAAATTAAATCTTAAACTAATAACATGTTTGCTTAATATTTTAGGTGCGCTAGTATACAATATCGCCACATGCGCCTTGCTTATTTAAATCTATTTTAAGATAAATATTCTATCGGTTACATCTTACATGTTACATTACAAATAAAAGTTATAATCATATATTTAAATTTGAGTTTCCGCTACAACATCTCGTGGTTGGTACATGATGGGTCTCCTAGCAGTATATTTAACAAAACAGAATAAAGAACTCAAGAGAGTTATAAGAATGGTCGCGATAATAATCAGAGATATGATAACATATAGGTTACTTTCTTTTGGAGTATAATTTTTATTTTTCTCAACTTTTATCATTTCCTCGATTTCTTTTAAAGATTTAGAATGCCGTGATAAGTCTTCCAGACCAATGCTGTTATGACTCTCCGAAAAATTAAGCGCTTCAAAGAGGTCCTGAGAAATATTTGTTACTAAAAGATGACCTAGACCCTCACTTTGTATAGGATTATAAAGATTTTGGCTGGAATTCCTAACAATCGCTTGCGATGGAAAGAGAATAGTTTGTTTTGCATATAAAACACATTGTGGGTTTAATGTTATCTGCCCTGTCCCATTAAGGATGATGTTGTGCGGATCCTCATTAACACACTTAATAGCTACATTTTCACTTACTGATACGTACAACCATGTATTTGTAGATTCTAAGCGACTAAAAATAGAATTATTAATTTTTACATATTGAACTTTACATACAGAAGAATTTTCCTTTAGACCTAAGAGAGAGTTAACACCACAAATTGTATTTGTCGAACTATACATGCACAT